CTCCCCTGGAGTTAAACAGTTGAGTTTTACCGTTTTCGAATCCATTCAGCCGATCTCCGGGTCTGGCGGTAGCACTTTTAGCTGTAGCTTAGCATAGATCATTGAATCTGATTAGACCGTTAGCATCTCACTCAAAAATGACAAAAGAGTTTCTATATTTTTCCTATTTAAAACTTGACTCTTCTGTAGTTACATCGTGTACTAACACCGACGGAAAATGAAAAGTTGTGATTTTCTAGGCCGATATGGCTAGGAACTATACTCTCATTCCGGCGTAATAATCAAGGACCTTTGCTGCCGTACCATGGGTGCAGCAGGCGCAATGATATTACGCAGCGCTTGAAAATAGGCTTATTGGAAGTTACCTAGCTGGGGACTATTTTCTAGAAAATCGCAACTTTTCATTTTCCGTCGGTGGAGTTGGAAAATGAGCCTATTTTCAAAAATACTGGAGTGTTCCTTTAACCAGCTTTCAACTTCAAGCAAAGGGGATCATAAGGGTAAATTCTCATACAGTGAAGCTATATTAGCCTAGTACATTATTGAATATTGAATGAAATGGTCTTGTCTGCAATGCTCTGGCATCTAGCACAGCTTCCAGTCCCAGCTGAAGGTCTTTATCTCTCCTGTGCCCCTCTCGCTCTTGCTCTACTCTCCTAATAAATGCATACAAGGCAAAAATATTACTTAAATAAGCTATAATAAATGCCCTGTAGTACCAGCTGAAAACAAGTGTTTGGAAATTCATTTTTGATATTTTTTAATTTTGTCTCACGCAGAATGAGGTTCATGACCTGCGTCATAACTCTTCAGATGCCGCAGCATCCTCATATAGGATGTATCGAGACAACTATGCTGCAGAAGGACTTCAGGAAACGTTTCCTGCGGCGCAGACATTCCACGGTGTTCCTCTCACTGGTCAGTTCAATGGCTTACCCAAATCAGCAGTCTTTGATTGAAATGTGAAATTGTACGTGTATACTAGTGGTTCTCAAAGTGTGCCAGCCAACCCCCCCCCCAGCGAGTCTTGTTCACTTTCAACATTTGAATATACACACAATCTCTAGGGGTGTCCCCGACTAAGGATTTTCATAGTCGAATCAGAATTTTTGAATCTTGACGATATTCGACTGATAGTCGAATCATATGTTTTGGGGGTGGAGCAAAATACATTACCAAGAGTCAAGTCAGACATTCGACAGTCATAAATACATTAACACATAAGGAAAATGTGTAACGGACGCCTCGCAGATACAAACTTACAACTTATAGGCTATCTACACAAAATGCCCTGAATGCACATGAACGTGGCTCTGAATGAACTCCTTTTGTGGATATAACGTGCAGAAACACGGCAACTAAACTCAAAAAATTTAGTTTAGTTTTATTTAAAAGCGTTTTATTATAATAGGGTTCTCAATATAATGTTATGTATTTGACAGTCCCAGTCATAGTTATTAATATTCTGCATTGTTGTTTGTCCTGCTCGCTCGAGCTTCGCGCTGAAGAGATAATCACCGTAGTACTACAATGAAGCGCTTTACTGCAGCGCAACTCAACCACATGCATCTTATACGAGATAAATTATATAAACCGGCTGAAATGTTTTGAAATCACTTGTACCCTACCTGATCGAAAAAAATCCATTCTTTCACTCGGTCTGTGTCAATTTGAGTCTTGTTAAAGTTTTAAATCCCTGCGGCCAAGATGCTCCTCTGTCGGTCACGGATCATGGAAAGTGAAACTTAAATCTATAGGGGTGGTTGGATTTATTCACACAGTTAAAATATTTATTTGAAGCTTCTTTCTTTTCAGATTCTTATTTACAGCATTATTTTAATAGGCTGTATATTAACTTATTGGGAGAAAACCAGTAGTTCTATGTGAAATCAGACATTTGAGCACCCCCAAATGGCACGATCATAACACACCACGAATATTCGACTGTGAGATTGGTAGTCGAATCGGGCTCCTCCTATCGAAGCATCGAATCTTCGACTATTCGGGGTCATCCCTAACAATCTCACAAAAGTAGATGTGAGAAACAATGAGGCTTGTGCAGGTTTTTCTTCTATGTATGTGCTTTGTTTATGCAAACAAACTAAATAACCTCTTGTGTGTACAGTAGTTGAGACATGCCTAAACCATTCCTTTTATTTGTCTCAGTTGCTACTACAGGTCCCTCTGTGTACTACAACCAGTCTCCAGCATATAATTCACAGTATCTTCTGCGCACCGCTGCAAATGTCACACCAACAAAGGTACTGGAGGGATTTTCATGTAAACACAAAATATTCTACCCTACAGTAATGAAGCCGAGAATCTATATCAAAGTATTGTTTGTTTGCCTCTGCAGGGCCCAGTATATGGGATGAATCGTCTTCCTCCTCAGCAACATATGTATGCCTACCAACAATCAACACACACCCCACCTCTCCAGTCAACACCCGCATGCATGTATCCTCAAGAGCAAGTCTTCGGTCCTCCCATCCGCTTTGAGTCACCAGCTACATCCTTACTCTCCCCATACAGTGAGGAGTATTACGGTCACAATGTTCCTCAGCCCACAGTCAATCCAACATTGCCAGAGCCTGGATATTTCACTAAGCCATGTGCCGTTACATCCACACAGCCATCCAGGAGCACTGAAAGCAAGGCTGTCGACCCCAAGATGAGTTTTGGGCCGCAGTTCACAGGTGAACCTGCTAAGGTTCCCAACTTTGGAGCAGTAGCTGCCGGTCCAACAACAACAGCATCAACTGCGTTCAAGTTCAAATCCAATTTCAAATCCAATGATGGCGATTTCACCTTCTCCTCTGCTCAGGTGAAAAATAGTGAAAGCCTCTTGGGACTTCTGACATCAGATATTCCTCCCAAAGTGGAGGTGCCGTCAGAAACAAAACATCAGACCCAAGACCAGCTGCCTAGCCAGAGCGGAGTCTTTACCTTTGGAAGTAAAAGTGCAGCAGGATTTTCATTCACTGATGGTGCTCAGAACAAGATGAGTATTTTTGGCAACACCGACCAAAGATTTAGCTTTACAAGTGGAACCAAGCCAACATTAGGGAATTCAGAGCCTCGGGAAGAGAAAAGTGGGGCGAGTGACAATGATAGCACCCATGTAGAAGAAGAGGAGGATGGGCCTCATTTTGAGCCCATTGTGCCTCTACCTGATAAGGTCGACGTGAAAACTGGTGAGGAGGAGGAGGAGGAGATGTTCTGCAAGAGAGCAAAACTCTTCCGATTTGACTCGGAGTCTAAAGAATGGAAAGAGAGGGGCATTGGCAGTATCAAAATCCTGAAGCACAAAACCTCCGGGAAAGTTCGTCTGTTGATGAGGAGGGAGCAGGTTCTGAAAATCTGCGCCAATCACTATATCACTGCCGACATGGCCCTCAAACCAAATGCTGGATCTGACAAATCCTGGGTGTGGTACGCTATGGACTATGCAGATGAAATGCCGAGGACTGAGCAGTTGGCCATTCGTTTTAAAACGGCAGACGAGGCGGCACTGTTTAAAGTTAAATTTGAGGAGGCTCAAAAATTCCTTTCGGAATCCCCACAAAGCCAACAGGCTGAAAAGGAAAGCGAAATTCCACAGCCTCAGGTTTCATCCAAAGAAGTGGATCTCAAAACCCGGTTTTCCAAGAAGGCGGGTGAATGGGACTGTGACATGTGCTGTGTAAGAAACGCTCCCACGTCTGCGGTATGCGTGGCCTGCAGCAGTGCAGCTCCTTCTACAGCACAGGTCAAAACTGTAGAGGAACCCAAAGCCTCTGGCCCTGTGGCTCCTCCTGCCAAATTGTTTTCTTTTGGACTTTCTGGAGATTCTGCTAAGAACAACGCCAGCACTGATGTCAGCTCAAAGGGCTTCATTTTTGGATCTCAAATACCAGTTTCTTTTAAGTTTGGATCGAAGGATGCTGCCGCCACATCTGCTGACTTTGGAGCTCAGGCTGAGAAGAAAACAATTCAGTCTGATGCACCACAACAAGAGAAAGTGTCAGCAGCTCCAGCAGTCCCATTTGGCACTGGATTTGGTGCTCAGTTTGCCAATGGATCGAAGGATGCTGCCGTCACATCTGCTGACTTTGTAGCTCAGGCTGAGAAGAAAACAATTCAGTCTGATGCACCACAACAAGAGAAAGTGTCAGCAGCTCCAGCAGTCCCATTTGGCACTGGATTTGGTGCTCAGTTTGCCAATGGATCGAAGGATGCTGCCGTCACATCTGCTGACTTTGTAGCTCAGGCTGAGAAGAAAACAATTCAGTCTGATGCACCACAACAAGAGAAAGTGTCAGCAGGTCCAGCAGTCCCATTTGGCACTGGATTTGGTGCCCAGTTTGCCAAGAAAGAGGGTCAGTGGGACTGTGACTCCTGCCTAGTGAGGAATGATGCCTCAGCAACTGAATGCGTTTCTTGCCAAGCCCCCTGCAGCACTGAAAAAAGTAAAGCAACATCACAAGGTGGGCTAGCTGCCATGTTTGTTAAAAAAGATGGACAGTGGGATTGTGAGACTTGCCTGGTAAGGAACGAAGGTTCATCCAGCCATTGTGTTTCATGTCAGACAGCAAACCCAAATATGAAAAACAAGACCTCTGCTGCACCATCAAGTTCCTCTTTTTCCTTCAGTTTTGGTAGTTCTAGCAGCCAACCTGCTGCGACAGGATTTAAAGCCAATTTCAATCCAGGCCCTGCTTTTCAGTTCGGCACAAGTCAGGATAAAGCATCCTCAGAAGGCTTCAAGTTTGAGTCCTCCACAACTGAGGCTGAAAAGTCATCAGGCAGTTCCAGTTTTTCGTTTTCCATGTCGGCGCCTGTTGGCGGATTTAAGTTTGGCATTGCAGAATCTGAGGCAAAACCATCAGATGAACAGTCCCAAAATGGATCTGCATCTGACCTTCTCAAAAATATTGCTGAGCTTCACAAAGAGAAAGAGAAAGAAAAAGAGGCAGCCCCAAGTACCTCAGAACAGTCTGTAGACGCTGATAGTCACGATAATAATCCCCTCTTTACTGGAAAGCCTAACACCTTTAGTTTCGCTGACTTGGCAAAGTCACAAGGCAGTTTTCAGTTTGGCCAGAATGATCCCGCTTTCAAAGGCTTTGCAGGGGCTGGCGAGCAGCTCTTTACAGGAGTTCATTCCAGCTCCAAGGCCGACACCTCTGTCGATCAAGATGATGAAATGTACAAAACCGATGAGAATGACGATATTCAGTTTGAGCCCGTTGTTCAGATGCCGGAGAAGGTCGACCTTGTTACAGGCGAAGAAGATGAGAAAGTCTTGTATTCACAGCGTGTCAAACTCTTCAGATTTGATACGGAAACAAACCAATGGAAAGAAAGAGGAGTCGGCAACCTTAAACTGCTCAAGAATAACCAGAACGGGAGACTTCGAGTTCTTATGAGAAGAGACCAGGTGTTGAAAGTGTGTGCTAATCATTGGATCACAACCACAATGAACTTAAAGCCTCTCTCTGGCTCGGATCGAGCCTGGATGTGGATGGCCAGTGACTTCTCAGATGGAGATGCCAAATTAGAACAACTTGCGGCAAAATTCAAAACACCTGAGCTTGCAGAAGAGTTCAAGCTTAAATTCGAGGAGTGTCAGCGACTGCTTTTGGATATTCCTTTGCAGACGCCTCACAAGCTCGTGAACACTGGCAGAACGGCCCAGCTTATAAAGCAAGCTGAAGAAATGAAATCTGGGCTTAAGGACCTCAAATCATTCTTGACTTGCCAAAACAAGGATGACAGAAGTTGCGATACAAGTCATAGTACCTCTGCAGTTGTAGTTAAGCTCGACTCTGAGAGCACCGCACCCACTTTAGAATGGGATAATTATGATTTGCGAGAGGAAACGCATGAGGACTGTGCCAGCTCCTCTGTGTGCAATACTCCTTTGCAGCCTGATCCAGTAGCTAAAAATTTATTCCGCTTTGGCGAATCGTCCACAGGCTTCAGTTTCAGTTTTCAGCCTATTCTCAGTCCCTCTAAGTCTCCATCTAAGCTAAACCAGAGCCAGGCTTCTGTTGGCACAGATGATGAGCAAGAAGCGTCGCAGGAGGAAGAGCGAGATGGTCAGTACTTTGAGCCTGTTGTGCCATTGCCTGATCTTGTTGAAGTCTCAACAGGAGAGGAGAACGAGCAAGTCCTTTTCAGTCACCGGGCCAAATTATACCGCTATGATAAAGATCTCAGTCAGTGGAAGGAACGAGGTATAGGAGACCTTAAAATACTACAACACTACGAAACAAAGCGTGTCAGACTCATGATGAGAAGGGACCAGGTCCTCAAACTGTGTGCAAACCATTGGATTGCTTCCAATATGAAGCTCGAGCCCATGAAAGGAGCCGAGAAAGCGTGGATCTGGGGTGCCTTTGATTTTGCTGAAGGGCAGGGCAAGGTGGAACAGCTGGCAGTTCGATTTAAGCTGCAGGAAACTGCAAATGCTTTCAAAGAAATCTTCGAAGAGGCGATGACTGCACAGGAAAAAGACACTCTACTAACCCCATTTTCTGCGAGAGTACCTGCCTCCACCCAGGAGACGCTTTGTGGCCAGGCTGCAGTTGCTGTACTTGAGGAAACCACAAAAGAACGTACCGGACTCTCTGAGGAAGGCAGTCCTAAACTGGATCAGACACCTCAAAGCACCAAGAATGTGGTCTCTCCTCCAAAGTTCGTCTTTGGGTCAGACTCTGTGCAGAAGATCTTTGGAAGCCCTTCGCCATCAAAAGAAAAATCTCCGGTTGTGATTCCCAGTTCAGAAGATGAGGAAACGGGTGCCTCGAGACTGAAAACCTCTGGACCAGCAGTGACCAGCCAGTCATCGGTTGGGACTCCTTTCAGCATACCAACAAGAAGTAAGCTATGTTCTGTGACCCATAGTTATGAATAAAACTGTACCTCTGTGTTTAGCTCACAGCTGTCCAACCTTGCTCCAGACACACCTGCCTGCAGTTTAAGTAGTCCTAAAGATTATGATTAGCTGCTTCAGGTGTGTTCAACCAAGGCTGGAGCTAAGCGCATCGCTGGTTTAGGTTCTTTTTAGTTTATTTACTTTTTTTAATGAGGACATTCTACACTTTCTTGTTGTGTTGGTTATTGCTGTAAAACATCCTTGCACTATGTTGCCTATGCCTTATTTAAGCCCATATTTTTGTCGTATATGTGACCCTGGACCACAAAACCAGTCATAAGGATAATTCTAGTTGAGAAATTGAGCTGAATAAATAATCTTTCCATTGATGTATGGTTTGTTAGGATAGGACAATATTTGGCTGAGATACAACTATTTGAAAATCTGGAATCTGAGGGTGCAAAAAAATCAAGATATTGAGAAAATCATCTTTAAAGTTGTTCAAATGAAGTCCATAGCAATGCATATTACTAATCACAAATTAAGTTTTAATATATTTTCAGTAGGAAATTTACAAAATATCTTAATGGAACATGATCTTTACTTAATATCCTAATGATTTTTGGCATAAAAAAAAAAAGTATAATTTTGATCCATACAATGTATTTTTGGCTATTGCTACAAATATACCCCAGCGACTTAAAGGGTTAGTTCACCCAAAAATGAAAATTATCCCATAAATTACTCACCCTCAAGGCATCCTAGGTGTATATGACTTTCTTCTTTCAGACGAATCCAGTCGGAGTTATATTAAAAATTGTCTTTGATCTTTCAAGCTGTTTCATG